CTCAGCCTGACTGAGGCTTTGAGCATGCAAGCAGAAACTTGAAAGGTAAAGCCTGCAGAAGCAAGGCACAAGTTGGCGAGTATGCAATTCTGGCAGAAGATCGTCAAACCTCCAAACTGCGTCTCCTCGTGGCGTCTCCCTGTAGGCGTTTTCGTACTCATCGCCTCCCTCAGCCTTCTTGCATATCATCAGACCGGCCCCGCTATTCCCCCGATATTTTCTGGTGACTTTGTAGACTTCTCATCGCTGTTGTTCGCGTCCAACGATAGCAAGTCAGGATCCTCCTGCTCCTGCATTGCAAAGGAAGTTTTGGTGGACGAAGCGGCCCTCTTCAGGGAGGCGTCGCGAGTCTCTAATTGCGCAGCCACCTGCACAGTGGACAAGGGAAAGTTGGCGCTCCTGTTTCTGACGCGAGGCCCTCTGCCTATGGCTCCTCTTTGGGCTCGGTTTCTTGAAGTAAGAGCAGCTTGCTCAGATTGTGATCTTCTTACCCCGCATCCAGATGTTTGTCAGCATCGAACCACAAGCAAAAAAACCATTCGCCCCTGAGCTTTGATTGCTGCCTCAACAACGATGTGTGCAATCCCTGAACATTCTGCGAGTTGGTCCCTGAAATACTTATGATAAGCTCATGTTTCACTTGGAAAACCTGCCTTGGACGGGTGGGGTTCGTAAGGGATTTCAGTGTGGGCACAGGTATGAGGCAAAAGATTTCCGGATAGAGGGAATCAAGTTTCAGTTTTATTCTCATTGGACTTGCGCTTCTTATGAACATCCTGAGGGAACCTTTCTGCGATGATGATGGTGGTGGTGGTGTTGATGATAGTCATGGTGGTGGTGCAGAATGTAGTTGATTGAAATCTATAAAGTGGCACCATCAACCTTGCCTTGAAGGGCGGTATACCTTAAGGCTGACTCTGGTCTATCAACCTGGCGGCCGTTTGCATCAATGTAAATCCATCCTGTTGGTAAATGGAGGCAGTAATGCCTGATCCTTTCATGGTGACTTGCAGGGGCACGAAGGGCTCTACTCCATATACATCCACCCAAAGCCTGGATATGAGTACTCTCAAAATGAATTTCAAGAAGCACAGCCGTTCATTGGTCGCCAGGTTCCAAGCGAGGAGGTAAGCTTCAATGCACTTCTACACAGTGTCATGCCTCTATTAGGGAACAGAATGAACGGCCTGCTTGCTGGCGACTTTAGTAGGCGAAAGGTGGACCTGCCCTTGACATATGGTGTCTCAGGATATTGCGAATCATTCGTTTTGTTGACTAGGCTGAATGTTGGCACAGGTCGGTTGGGCTGCCCTTTCCGAGCTTGATGCAGAGAGGCGACTTCTGGCCCGCGCGCTTCTCGATCCACTGAACCAGAGGTTTATGCTGGTCTCAGAATCGTAAGCTTTCTCAGCTAGCCCAATTGCTACGAGGATGCCTTTTGAGGACAAGAAACGACTCGTTGTGGACTTTACTCAGTAGAGACAAAGAGACGCGACACACTTACTCATTCTAATTTTCCAAACTGCCTTCCTGGGTAGCTCATAGGACAGCCTTCTTTGTATAAACACTGTTCTAGCAGTTTTTCTTACCATATCGGAAAGGGCCGCCTCTAATGCAAGTACCTTTCTTTTCCTGTACTTTAATAGGACTCACCGCGCCATCTTTGGCATACATTTCAAATCTATTTTCGATTCAGTGGTTTCGCCTAGCTCTAAAGTCCAGGTTCACAATTCAAACTTACGACTGCAACTCTGCTCACAGATCCTCAGGGGACTTCTCAAAAGCTTGTGGTAGAGTCCCTGCACATTGACTTTCATTCGACTGCCATAAAGAGCCTTCCTTTGGTAAAGGGTGAGCAGCCAGAGACAAGCGCGTAGGGGCCATGCAACATTTCCGCGTCGCAGATCGGATCTCGATCAAAGCAGCTATACTACTGCGGGTTTCAGGGCATTAGATGAAGAGAAGACGAGCACATCTGAGCTAATCATGTAGGTGTCTCGTCCTTGTGCAGGTGCATACCCATCCGAAGCTTCGATTACACGTACTCTCAACTGATGAGTCAAGAGCTGACATTCCTGAACAGGTGCAATCTGACCCATATGAACTCTCGATTTCGGGCCTTCTGGCTACCGTCAGTTCTTGTACTTTATGGTAGTGAGTTGCCTTGAACTGCTTTGTTCGCCACATACATATTTAAGGGATCTTTGATTCTCAGTGCGTCCAATCTGAGTCCAAGCTATATAAGTTTGTGCCCTAGCTACCGCATGGTTGGACACCTTTGCTTGATCCCAAGCGCAGAAGCAATCCTCGTCACAGCATCCAAAGGTCGCTCCGAAAGTCTTCTTTATCTTAAGCTCGACGTAGATTCGTTCTGTTACCTCAGATGAAGCCTCGATCTGTATTCGTTGTCCTACTTGCCGCTTACACCTGAAGCCTGGTCGTCCGGTTGCAGTTTTGACGAAGTGGACTGGTGGGCGGGTCGGGGCCGCTATGTCCCACAGATCTTCCTTCCCGAGGTCACCCTTGAACAGTGGAGGAAAGGCGCACAGGTAGCCCCGAACACAACTGCAGGACGCCTTGTTTCAGTTCACAAGCCGCTATTTTGCCAGCGAACAAGCCGTCCTTTCTTCTTGTGACAAGTGTCAAACAGACATCGCACCACTTCTTTGACGTTGCCCGCTTTCCAACAAACTTTCGAATGTAGGTATCCCATCATCTTAGTGAGACGGTGTATGAAAGTGACTGACAGCGTGGTTAAGGTACTAACAAGCGTCACGTGCGGATGCAGTGGTTCACAGCAACCAGACACGATGCCAACCTCATTGTGGGTGATATAAAATATTACAGCAACTACGCTGCTTACTGCCAGGTATGCCATCCGATCGCTCTTGGATCCGCAGGCCAGTGCGCCATGGCGACTTTTGCACCTGGAATTTAAGTGGTCCTTCTGAGAACCGTCAGACCAGCGGTCCATTGTCACATGTCGGCTGCGTAGTCGTGCTTTTGTCGTTGCGCTCGACGGGTTCCGTCGCGCCAGATTCGTCGAAGATTATCTGTCTCACATAATGAATTTTATCAATCTAGGTGTGCCCTCGATCTCACCATACATGCTCAGATTCAATCTGAAGACCTGCCAGATTGCAGGCCGCCTTGTATACTCCGAACACTGCAGCATAACCAAAGCTGGATTGTTTGTGGTGCTGATGACTGCCCAAGTATGTTATGAACGCTGGCGTGTTGCTCATTTTTCCATATCCGCTTTGCAGGCCGTCCCCTTGTGTTATCCTGCGGAGCACTACTTTCCAACACTGCTATATGTGAGTCGCCGCAGTCAGAAGCTCGTGGATTCCCATTCCATCCTCATCAACGGCCGAAAGGAACGGGCTAGTGTACCTGCCCAACAAAGCGCCCTTGTTGGCAGCAGACGTCATAGGCAGATGGAGTTTGGATTATAATTATTGGCGCCCACTGTTGCTGTTTCCCAACGTACCTTGAGGGGCAGACGCGAATAATAAAAAAGTTTGCGGGCGAACCAATGTTGAACCACAGCAGCCAATCGGCCAGCAAGCGGAACGCCTCTTCTGCTCTCATCTTCGTTGTTCTTCGTGCCATGCAGTCAGATTTCAAAACCGTCCTGCAACCATTCGCTGGGCGATTCTTGACTGTGTCCTGGAGCTTGGCTTGCTCTTCGAACTGACGCCCTTCATCATGCGTCTTTGCTTAGATCGAACACGCGGAGGGGCTAGCCAACGAGACCATGACGTTCGTGGACTGGTCCCAGGGAGGGGCGCATCCCAAGACCTTCTTTTCACAGGACCTGTCACCCGGCGTCATTCGGTTCATTCAAGTAAGCAAGTCGCACTGCGTCGATTCACGGCTCATACGATCAATTCAGGCCAGTTTGTCTCGGATTTCCGGGAGATTCTGTTGCACGTTCTTGCTCAGACCCTCCATTCCAATTTGCTAACGATAGGTTCATTTTTGCCACCCTCTTTGAGCACGAAGCTTATTGAAAGAACGCAACCCTGAACCGCTTACTAAGACGGTCACTAACTTGAACACGTTGTGCTTTTTGAAGTAGCACGGCCGGGGCACGGCCCGACGCTTCAAAGTGGTGCCCGGTACGATTGAGCTGGGTTTTGGAAATTGATTCGCATCGATCCTTTGTGTTCTCCTTCGCAAACACCAGTGCTGCAAGACAGAGTCCGGATCTGGTCTCGTCTTCGTATGCAGGGCCTTGTCGACTGCCCCCACACGGGCCGCACCTTGCAGCACGGGGCGGAGCGCCCTTGCTGGCTGATCATGCGAAAGGTCGCTGCAGAAAGTCTCAACCATTTGCTGAGCCTCTCTCCAGATGTGCTTGGTTACTGAATGCTTATGCTTATGTTTATGTATCATAGAGATGCTCAGTACAGGACGAGTGGAGGTTTCGACCAGAGTTGATCCCTCGTCTTAATATCGCCGTCAATTTCTGCCCGCGTCTTAATATCGCCGTCAGTGTCTGCCCGCGAGCACATTTTCTTTTCACTGACCATCAGCCAAGTCTTTCGACATGCTCAGGGCGCTCGCCGTCCCAGCAGCTACTCGCATGCATCTCAGCACCAGCACATCTTTCACTTCAGGGTAAAGGTCAATCTGTCTTCCATGCCACGTTGGGCGCGTTTCAAGGTACATATGACTAACTACTTCCGACCGTGCCCAAGCTCGCTATCCATGGCGAATCGGAACAATTGCAGACTGCCACGAGTACCGCCGTGTACGTCACGGCCGGGCGCCAGACAGTATCTTAGTCTACTCGAAATCGGCAGAAGTGTCAGATGCACTCTCTAACCAGGCAAACCGACCCGCTCATAGTTTTATCCGCACAATTGAATTGTGAAGCTCTCCTGCCGGCCGCAAAATTGCGTGTGACTCGATTGGGGCCGGGCCATGGTACAAATCAACTTGGAACTTTTTCAACAGAGTCACTGCACTGATGCTGGCGTGTATATATATGGACGGATACGGGAGCGCACGGCGGAACTTGAGGCGCTCCTCCGGCCCTCAACAACACGATCGATGTGCATGCATCACTGTTCTATTGTTCGCATATACTCTACTTAACAGAACGTTAATCTGGCGGCCGAGCATCATGCCTCGACTAAGGGACCGTGACAGCATGATAAACGACTTTCTCGCCACTTCCTCACCCATACGATATTGACAAGTTTGCCATGGAATCGAACGCCGCGTTTGGTCATAGCAACCGGTTGTACGGTTGCATAGTTGGTTGTATGGCAACTGCATGCACGTGGCGCTTATTTGCCTAGCTGGTCCCAAGAAGAAATTACAGTCTATCATACCTCCTCCTCCCACAGGAGTCTGTTCAACAACGTAGATACGTCATGTTAGGTCCGGCTTGGACCAACCCTCGCCTGCTTCCTCCACATATTTACACAGCTTGGCAACAACATAGCTCCGGCTTGCTTGCTCTTGCTGCCACCTGTCCAATACCCCTACATACCCCTCTTGCGAACCGAAACCTGAGTCAACCAAAGCAGCACTTCAGGGCAAATGATACAACCCTGCTTACTCAGGTCTCTGTTCGGGGACAAGTACCAAATCGATGCATGCGCAATAAGCGTTTTGAGAAGACCAACATTGGAATCATGATCATTGCACTAGTCTGGCCTTAGCTCTGAAGTTGCTCTGGCAGAGTCCTGACGACTTCTAGTACGCAATTGACCACAAAAGAAGGCAAATCGTACGAACAAGCACCATGTAATTCGATATCGCCCTTGTCCTCCTACCCGCACCTCATAATGAATTTTGATCACAACCACTTGATTCGAACCAGAGACCCAGAGGAAGGTATTTCCTTCAACGTTAGCCAAGCCGGTCAGGCACGACTACCTGCCTTGATGCTACTAAAGAAGCTTTGCGAGATATGTAGGTTTCAAAAAGGAAACCTGCCCACTGTTATTCAAAAGGGACCTACCGTGGGTAGAATCTTGCTTTGCCGCTCACCTTGGTCCACCTCAAGCAGTGCTGCTAACAACACCTCGGCCTCCTTCCCGTAGAACCGCTGCTTCCATATCCCGAACTCTCCCCGCGATGGAAAAGTCGTCTTCTGCGAGCAGCCATTCCACGAGTCCCATTTCGCCAGCACTGACGTCAGCATCTTGCGCAGGTTCTCTTCCACGAGCTCTTGACGGTATTGGCCCCGGTTGGGCAGCGTTGGTGTGGGGTCACGGTCGGTGCACAGTAGGATTGTGCGGCGCACGACGGCCTCCTTTCTGGTGCGATATCTGTAAGCGAAAACGGCCCAGATAGCCGCAGTGGCAACGAATGCAAACAACGGGGCAGCCACCGCCGCTGCGGTTCTTATGTTGGCCCCCCCTCCTGCAGATTAAAAGGCAGGATTTGATTTTCAAAGATGCCGGTTATTCTTTATCTTAAGCTGAGAAATTGACATCGTCACTGCTCCATACACCTGCCACTTGCGACTGACACAAGACGGGAGCGTTCTGTGCTTTGCCCTCTTTGATTTTACAAAAACGTGGGCTAGCTAGCCCATGCAGACGTTGCAAGTTTAGCAAGCCTGGCCGCGCCGTACGTAGACTCAACCCAATCAGCCACCAATAGCAGCCATGGATTTAGGAACACGCGCAACCAAGACTAAAGCTACTGCAGCCCTCCAGACTCTGGCGGAACTGACTTTCTAAGGTCTGATGCGAGCGGACACTCTAGTATACTTGTCAACGGATCAAGTAATATGGGGCTTGTGGGTATCGGGCATGCTAACGAAGTTCTTTGACGAGTGCACGTTCAATGACAGTCCGTTTAAGCTACGTTACACAGGAAAGCGAAAACAAAGAAAGAAAGGGCCGGTGTGTCCGTACCATCCAAGAGCCTGTTCTGTGTTAAGAGGTCGCATGAGCGGACGTGTTCAGAAAACAGAACCAACCAAAATGTCAAAGCTCACCACCCTTGTTTGAAGGAGGCGCCAGTGGAGCCACTGGTTGGGTGTTGCTAGGAGGCCCTTGAGACGGAGGGGGTTGCAGTGGGGACCCGGCTGGAGGAGGGTACGGAGCCACAGTTGAAGCGGCAGTCGGCATTGAGGAGGGAGGGGAGATGACAAGGGCTCCTGTTGTTACGAGTGGGCTTGGAGATAAACTTGGGACTACAGTTGGGGCCAAGGTAGGGGCGACCGTTGGGGATAATGTGGGGACGACTGTTGGGGTTAAGTTAGGGGCGACCGTCGGGACAGGGGCACCAGTGGATAGGGCCGGAGGGTTCGCTTGAGAGGCCCCCGCGGCATGTGAGCAACAGCCCGCCAGAGGTAAGCTCCCGCTGCATGTGACCGCTTCGTCGGAGTAGCCCGTGCACGCGCATAAGGCGGGGCTGCCCGCAGAGTTTGCACACTGGATGGTGCAGCAGGCAACGAAGGGCTCTGCACTTCCGAAGGTGGTGGATGCACAGACGGCGGTGGAAATGGTGCTCTGAGTGGTGCCCCCAACCACCACGTAATGACATGAGCCCGAGCTGCCTACAGCGACAAAGAGTCCGCTGTTGATCAAACCATATAAACTCTGATGTATGCCAGGGAAATTGGAGACTGCCCATGTGAAGATGGAAGAGAGCGGCAGAGAAAGCGAGCTCTAGCCCCTAAATATTACCCATTTGAACCAAGCGGCCCTGGCGGCCATTCAGCAGAAGTAAACTTCAAGAGGGAAGTGTCTGCGAACAGTTTGACATCTAAGGTAACTTGCGAATCAGAGGCAGTGGCAACTGCAGCAGGCGCTGTAATGGAGCGGCACCGCTCAAACAGGTAGACTAACATTCACTAGCATTGACTATTGGCTGGGCTTTGCAGGTCAGCATCTTTTACACCTTCCATGAATGCCAAACCTTGCCAATGAGAAGGCTCGAAGTTAGCACATGACTGCACAATGTGCCGACGATTTTCAGTTTATGAACGTAGGGGTGAATTCGGCTTCAGGTGGCCGTACCAGATTATAGCCAATGACATCTGCCCCCAAAGGACATGTCCCGTTTCAGCTGCTCATAGCGAATTCAATACCAGGCCATCAGACGTACTGATGAAATATAAAGAGAATCTGACAATCAAATCAAGCGGCGACAGCTGACCTGAAGCTTGCAGCAGGCGCCGGCGTTCCAAAGTCCTTCTCTTCACATTAGGTGCCACGTCCCTGCCCCAGCTTCTGCTGCCTGGCCCCCAGATGTTGAAACCAGGACCTTTGCCTTTCGATGGCGCTGTTAGATATGCAGACTGCAAACCCGGCTCAGATGGCAATGTGTGCCATGAGGGATCCCCTTGGCTGGATTCTGCATCCTCTGGCTGCACAATGTGTGGTGCGAGGCTGCCAACATCTATACCCCTTGTGTCAGCAGCTGTGCAGCTATACAGGAAGCTCAAGCTCACAGATATCAAAGTAGCTGCAGAGAAGGATGTGTGCAGCCAGCAGACCCTATGCTTCACCTCAAGGTCGAATGAATGCTTGCGGGCCTGCTTTGAAGCGCTGTCCCTGGCTCCTGAATACATCGGCCGAAGCTCCATGTCACATGCAGAAAAGGGGCAAACTGGGTGCCGTCTTGTCTACCGGCGGTTGTTTTGTCAGCTGCACGCAGCCACTACCGCCGTACCGGTATTGGCACTGGAGCTGACTCGCGCGGCGTGCCAGCGGCACTGGCAGCGGCAGCACCGTCTTCTTTTCTTCCTGCTTTTCTTCATTCTTTGACAGTGAAGGCGGCAGCACTCGCTGATTGATCGGAGCCGATTTTTAACCGTGGACCACTGGTTGATGATATGATCCGCAGCAGATTTTGGCGAGATCTACCTGACTTACAATGGTTACATGGTTACATGCTTCGTCGTAATCCTCCACAGTACGGGAGACTACCGTACTTGCAAGGCTTCCAAGCAGCGTTCGACACGGAGTTTTTATTCTGTCGGCTGGGAGCCGACAGTTCTCCGGTGAGTCGGCTGGACCTCTGAACCGGTCGGCTTATGTCAGGCAAACACCTGAAATCCACCTCGATTCTGTCGGCTTTTCGGCCGACGCCCCTCGGTTGAGTCGGCCGGGTGGTAATTCCGTCGGCTGACGTTTGCCTGGTGTGACGGTCGGCTCGTGTCGAACACTGCTTCCAAGTTCCAGGAGACATCCCGATCTCTAATGTCCACCGTACATTTCCGGCTGGATGATCATCTTGCCGATTCCTGCGCCAGCGGCCATCATTCACGTCTCCGTAAGGTAAGCCCGCTAGGGTTGGGTCGTACGGTCATACGCCGTAGGCGTATGTATGTACATACATACGGAATATGCCGTATAATCAAAATGCCCTTCAGCGTATAAGGTTCTCCCAGCGTATATAGAGAGGGCTTGAGCCTTGCATTTTCAAAGATTATGGGGCAATTTTTGCCGTTTTAGCGCCTTTTTACCGTATTTTGTACGTATTTTGGCGTATTTAAATACAGGCCCTATACGGATGCATACGCATACTGCGTAGAATTATACGGAATACGCTAACATACATAACATACGCTACGGCTACGGCATACAATTGGTCGAATATACGGCTATGGACCCAACCCTACCACCGGCTCCGGTACTCCGGCCAGTACGGTACGGTACGGTACTCTCGGAATTTAATACCTATCATTAAATTCGTCGGCCGGCACTGCTGCCGCCGGCGGCAGCTGGTGCTGTGCTGATACATGTCAAGTTTACCATACCAACGCCCAAGGTTACGTTGCCCAAAACTAGCAACGATTTTCAAAATCTGCTGCGATTCGGCGAATGACCCCCCCTTCCCCATCCGGACCAACATTGCCAGCGCTAGGTCTCTCGGGTGGAGGTCCCAGGCTCCAGCGTGTCACCGGCGGCCGGTCTGAGCCGAGGCCCGGCATCCGACCAGTAATCGGTGCTCCGCAAAGTGGCGCCGGTCGTACGTCGTGTGCGAGTTGCGCGGGCCAAAAAAGAGTACCCGGGAGCCACCCGGAGGCTTGCGTACCAGGCGCTTGAGTCTACCGCGGTACGTACTGCCGAATTTCGCCGGGCAGTAGTGTTTAGCGAAGACTTGCTCGGAATTATTCTGCCTTGAAATTATCGTCCCCCCCGCGGGAAAAATTGGCGCGCTGAGGGGCTAGCCTCAGACCGTCAGATGACATCCGCCATCAATCGGAGGGTTCCAGTGGGTCATGCTGACAAAAGCAGTGGCACGTCAGCTTATATCGAATGGTGACCAATTTTGGGCGTCGTAGTCGTAAACTTGATACCGGTACCTATATGTGCTGTGCAGTGTGCAGTGTGTTGTGATACTTTTTCGGGCAGCGGCCGGCAGCACGGAATCTTCCTGCTCAACTGGCCTACGCGTCCTACACCTCTGCCACTGCCAGTCTCCCCGCCGCCCACCGGGGCCACAGCTTTAGGACGCCGGCCGGAAATCGCAAAGACCATGTAGGTATTATTTTATTTTTGGGGCTAGGACGTCGACGTGAGGCAGGGACGTTTGTTGAGACGTGTGCACTGTGTCCACCTGCGAGCTCCAACAATGTTGCGTTGAGGAAGTGAGCATGCTTGGGCAGCTGCTGGGCGGCGACGCTTCAAGTGCATTGAAGCTCATGTACTGCCACTGGGAAATCAGAATGTTCTTACCCTATGACGAGGCCATGAGCATTAGCAGATGGTCGGGTAGCAAAGGTTGCCTTGAGCTAGCTTGACGGGGACATTTCAGGAGTCTGCTTGAACTTGCAAGTGATCAAAACCTGAGTGGAATCATGGAGGGGCTCTTTGAGCTGCGAGTCGATGTCTTGTTTAGGGCAGCTTTGTTACTTCTTGTCAGCTTTCTGTCTGTCCATCCTGGCATCCTGCCGCAAGTCCAGACGCTCCCAATCACCTCCTGACGAACGACTGCACAACGGCCAACTATGAGTACAACACATATGACGGCCCTGGAAGTTTTTTTTACTACACGGGCATTCCAGACAGTTACTGCGATGGGAAGGGTGTGCTTCTTGTTGCCACCCAAAGCTTGTTCCGATTTGGGGTTTGCGGCGTCACTGGTGCTCCTGCCTGCACCACAGCCATTGCCCCTGTAAGTCCTACTAGCTCATTGACTTTTTTGCAATCCTCTCCATTCTCTTGCAAGCCTGAGCACCTGAGCATGGTGGGTCTGGCACTACCAGGAAGCTTGGGAGCTTTAGACCTGACTTGTGAACAACCTTGCTTTACTACCTACAAATGCACAGTGTTCAACCCTAGGACACGTTTCGATGCCACCTTGAATTTTGAGCCTGATGCAATGGTAAGTTCAGAATGTAAGGCTGGACCATGCTGGCTACATTCTTCTGCATTGGCCCAATCTCCGTAGACAATATTCATGATGCTTTAGCATCCTTTCAGAGGGCCTCCAATCATGGTTTCCCGCGCCCATGCACTCCCTTTCTGTGTGCAGTATTCCACAAAGACTGACGCGTGCAAGGCCAAAGGCAATGGTGCGACAAAATGCCTGAACTCCTTGAGAGTACTCTACAACAACTACGATCTGGACTGCGACCTCGTCGTTGTGTGCGAGTATTTTGACGGCCCTGCCACCACTGTCAATACGGCAACTCCTGGCACTCCCCCTGCTGCGATTACGCCGACAGCTGTCCTTCCGCCCTCCCCTTCTCTGCTGCCAAAGGCTGGTGACCTTGTCCTTTCATCAGCATATGCTGTTGGGGCTGTGCAATATACTTGCAACAGAGGTGAGAAGCCGTTGTGTCAGTCATTGTGGCGAGCGCTGTGCATTATGAATCTTAGGACGTGGCCGCCCATGTAATAAGCAACTTTAGCGGACCACCAGGCCCTGACAGGTTGCAATTCTGGCATGTATTTCTATTCCAATGCAGGCAGCTCATACGTATTTTTTTGCCACTGATCAAACAATGCAATGCATTTGTATGAGGGACACCAGAAACGACGGGCCACCTGATCAGGCTGTGAAGAAGTCCCTCACGCACCTCAGAGATTGCTGAATTTATCCTGCCTGCCGCCGTGCTTTATCCAAATGTCATTCACTCCGTCCAGGTGCATGTAGATATGTTTGCAAGCGACGCTTGGCCTATGTGCCTTTAATGAAGACTGGGAGACTCCCTGGAGCTTGGAAACCACCTATCATCTCAGCGAATCAAAGGTCTGCAACCTAGAAGGTGTGAAGGAGAGTGAAAGCGGCTGCTGACGTCGAGATTTTTTATGAACATTGTGTCTTGTTCCACAAGGTTTAAACTTGAACCGATTGGACCATCCTCTGTGTTTCTTATTCCCCCAGCTTCTGGCTTGTTTGCCAATATTACGGTGATTGCCAACCTATACACGAACCCGCCACAAAACGGTACCATTGGTACTTACTTGAGCGCAAATGAAATTCAGGTATACAGCCTCACTGATGGAGGCAAAGCACAGATTGGTGCGTCCGATAAAGGGGCATCGTATGCCCAGAATTCGACTGTTCTATCAGACGGTAAGCGAGCGAAAACTTCACTCCAAGAATCAGATTTTCTCTCGAGACTCAAAGCTTGTTGCTTGCACGTTGCTTGCCGACCCAGAGCTTCGGACAATGCATGGGCCTGGTAGGAAAAAGCTTACATGATATCGTATCAAGTTAGTCATACTTTACGTATGAAGAAGCCCAACCAACCTTCACCCGAACTTCGGCGCTTACTCATGACTTACAAAGTCACTGGGCTTGTTTCCAGGTCGTCGGAATATCCTGTGGGCAGAATTCAACTGCGTGCCAACATCATCAAAACTTTTCTACGTTGAGATATTATACTAGGGTCTTTGCTTACTGACATGGACGGGATTATGCGACTGTTATCTCCGGGTTGCAATATAGGAGCAGTAACATCTATCCACGCAGCTCGTGAACCTCTAGTCCGGTACAAGAACACCTCAAACCTTAAAAGCTCAAACAAGATTAGCTGCGTGTTCTTTCCGTGCCTTTTTTGGTCGGATGCTCATCGAAAATTGCCAAGGGATATCTCTGGTCTTTCATGGTCGCAGTTTACTCCATCGTTTTGTTACTGTCTACAGGCGGCTATGGTTCATTGAATCGGAGCTACTCGACAGCCACCGGGAATCTCAGCCTTGCAAACGTCACTTACATTGCCATTACTGGGACTGTGGGCGGTGTCCTCCCAAACAAAGCTGTTTGCAGCAAGGCGGCTGGCACTTTAGCACTCATCCCATCTTTTCCGTGGACGGTTCCCTATGAAGCAAACGTCACGTTCTACAGCAAGTTTACTCCCCCCGTTTGAGGTATTGCGGCTTTCAGTCACCACACAGATTGCTCAACGTGTACGATTCTAACGTTGTTTGCATATAAACCCGAAATTTTATGGTTTGAGCTTTAGTAAGCGTGTGTTTGTTTTGGTAGTTTTGACACTCGTCTAGTTGGTTGATGATAAACCTCGATAGATGGTCAGATGCTCGACTCCTTAGGCGGTAAGTAGCCCTTCAGATATGATGAACACCGAGCTACGGAATCGCTTGCTTTTGCGCCATGCATCGGCCTTAGTGTCGGGCAAACTTAGTTGGTCCGGTTGCCAGCTTGAAAACTTGAAAGGGTAGTGCTCTATGATAATACTCTTAAGTAGTTTTTTCAGAGTATCTTCATCGGGCTATGGCTGCAGTGGGCGCCGGCAACGTGATTACGCGCGATGTTGTGATTCTCGACTCATCAGCCCGGCGCCTCGCGAGCCTGGCTATTATGATTGACTGCATGAGCAGCCAATTGTCGGCCGCCGGGTATTCACGGTACGCATCAGTGTAGGCTAAGACTCTTCTCTCGTAGTGCATGAGACATGGGCACACTGACTAACATTTGGCGGCCAGATACTAGGCTTATATATATATGAAAGAATTACCTTCGCGAAGAGTTGGAGATCGAACCGTCATCGTAAGCCGCCCGGTCATGGCGGCATTGTCAACATGACCAGTATCTTATGGTATGCGTGGCTTCTGCCGATAGGATCTGAACCGAGAGCTGTCCCGCGATGGACCACACATGGTTAATGCATGTTGTGATACACACGTACCACTATATATATGCAGCTATACCGTCATGTACAACCGATTGCATGCCAGCACATGATGCCCTCCGACCATATAAAGCAATGCCTCCGCATACACCGTTCCGGTCCAAATCGTGTATATGCACTGGCATCTACCTTTGAAGTACCTACTAGCTCTGAATGTTATAAAATTCGATCGGATCGTGCCGCTGCCATACAGTTGCCCGGATACTGGATAGAGTCTGCGCCGCCCCGCGCGCATGTGTCACATGCACGTCAGGAGCGCGTTCAGTACATATGACCAACTACTTCCACGCCCTTCCGGTATTCATGGCGAATCGGAACTTGCAGACTGCCACAGTCACCGTCCGTATTCATGACGGCGTCAGACAGTATCGCAGTCTACTTGAAATCGGCAGAAGTGTTGGACTCTCCACAGAGGCAAGCGGACCCGCTCATTGTTTTATCCGTACAGCTGAATGGTGAAGCCTGCCGGCCGCAAAATTGTGTGTGGCTCAGGATTGGGGCCGGGCCGGAACTCTGCAGACGCCAAATTGCAACTGTGCTAACAGAGCCTATATTCAAGCCAACTTGCATCACTTGCAGAGTTGCACACTCAAACCTAGCCTACTCAATCTTCCTGGAATTTCGGTGCAAGTGATCATGCCAGATCTCATCCTGGAGGTGTTCGGCTCCTCTGACAACCCACCGACTCCAACCAATTCTATGATTCGTCAGGCAGAAGGAGCTTGGTCGCACGGCCTGTACAGGTCAACTTTACGCTATACAAAACTTGAAAAAAAAACGCTCTGGAAAAAGTACGGGCAGTCAGTCAACGTGGTCCTCCTCCCCGGCCCCTTCCAAAGGGATCCTCAATTTGCTTCCCGGCTTGATGACGTCCGGGTTAAGAGACATGGGCATGTTGGCGGCATATATTTCTGCAAGTAGAGCCGGAGGGTAGTATCAATCAGCAAGAAAAAGTCTCACCTGTTCGACGACAGTCAGATTGTTCAAGGTCGGAGTAGCGTATGTTCGAACACCAAACCGAGAAGCCAGAATGAAGGACGCAAACACGACAACCGTAGGTTGGTAGGATCCAATAGGACCGATAGGAATAATAAGCAATAGCTCCGGTGTGTTAGAGATGCATCCTCTAACAACTGCGCATTCAGCGAAGCAGGTCCAAGCGTACAATGTCTGAATTCTCGGTGTGTCACAAACGTTCAGACCAGGCGGTTATGATGGGCATCGTACGGAGTAGAGACGCGCACCTCTCCACTTCCCCGGGTCGCCTGTCAGCTCCTTGCTTATCTTTATGAGGGAGTCTCCGTCCTTAACGCGCGTCTCGACGTCCAAGTTCGGTTCCAGAAGCGAAAAAGTCCCTGCAGGCACGCGCAGGTGTCGGTTAAGCACTCATCATGGTGCTCGTTCGTAACTTGACGCAGCGTAAACAGTGTTCCTCTGATCAAATATCTACAAAAACTTCACGAGAGGACGGGCTCAGCTCCGCAAGTTGGTCGGTGCAACAATGTGGGTGATGCTCCAACAACGTCTGAGTTTTGGGTTCTACTTTGTCCAACCAGGATAAAGGCATGTACAATTTTGTAACTAGAGCAATGGTCTGAACGGACTCAACGGGAAACATGCGTTCCTTGGATACTTGGCAAAGCTAAGCAGTCCAACAGGCGCTTTTAGAATCATGCACATACGTCAGCTGAGAGGGTGACTGTGTACGAGACACCACCTCCTTCTGCTTCTTATGACCCTGTTCTTGCTTTCAAAACGAACTCAAAACAAGGGCCCAGGAGCGGAAGGCACCTCACAGGCTGCCTATCGGGCGGCGTGCTGGTGCCCCGCCCCTCCGCCGCCAGCCGCTTGGCCTCCTTGACGCACGCCGCGTCGAGCTCGGCGCCCACGTACAGCTTGCGCGGGTCGTCGCCCAGGTCGCGTGCGCACGCTTTGTACAGGTCTGCAGCAAAAGGGAACTTTTTCTGACGACTGATGAGTCGCAAGCGTACTATACGCCCCAAGGACTCCTAGGGCGTTTAATGACAATTGAGCATGAAAACCAAAGGACCAGCCAATACCAACGAAAGGGCTCAGAATGAGGGTAAGTCTTTACCACGCAACTAGACCCGGATGCCAGTCAGATGTGACGGTTCAGATTATGGCCCGTCACAGCCGAACCAGTCTCACCATTTAACAGCAGATAGCTGAATGCAAGTCAATCCAAGGTGCACAGATTCCGAAAGGCTGTTCGCATACTGCTTCACTTCGTCTCATCGTTTCCTTTTAGTCCCCACTAAAACCTTCACTAGACGCATGCAACCTCGCATGCTACATCAACATACAGAAGCGGCACACCCTCTGTCGCTTAGTTGTGGGACTGGAAACACAAGTAACGCCCACTGCCTTCTGAAGTCAGCGAGCGTGACAAAAGCTCTCACACTGCCAGTCCTCCCCCCTCCCAAGCACCCGCGTACTGAGCGACCACATGGTGTCCCCCGCGTGCACCGTCGCCACTGCGGCAGCGCTGATCTCCTTGCCCGCGTGCCCCGGCAGCTCCGGAGACTGGTGACTACTAGACGGGTCCTTGCCTTCCTCGATCAGGTGCTCTAGTGGAACGAGAGAGAATTTGTGTTTGGAGATGTGGCGTCAGAAATGTTTCAATAAAAGGGTGAGAGGGGACTTCAGCGGTGCATACCAACGCGATGATGTTTCTGTGTACGAAACGAGATTGTGAAGGGCATGGAAAGAATTTCTCAATTTGTGGAGTTTAAGATCGACTGGCCTCTCTATATTTCGCGTCAGTGTCCCATTTGATTGGCCTGCAAGGATTTTTCACTGCCCTTACGACCAGACTGGGTCCCAATCCGAACAGCACAAAACCCGCCGCCCAACAACCAATTCTGCTGCCCCTCACCCATGGCCAGGTGTCGCTCCACCACCCCCGCATCTTCCTTGGCCACCTTGATGCCCTCTACGGTGGTCGTCTTCTTCCCCCCCTTCTTGCCCCCTCCACCGTCGTCATACCCGTGGCCACGATACTTGGGCGCCTCAGGCCCCATGTTTTTGCCCCTCACCCCCCGCCTGGTCTGGCGCCTCACAGCTAGCGCAATCAGGCTGGCGCCCACAATGACGCCAGCCGTCGCCAAGTACTTGAGAAGACCGTGACCGTCGGGCGTGCCATTCTGAGACCCCCCTGGGACTGGCAGCTCGCGCACTTTCTGCAGGAGAGGAGAACGGATGGTCGGGCGAGGAAACGAGCGGCGGCCTTGATCTGAAGCCCAAAGACGTTATCGAGCAAGCCATGGGCTTCGCCACAAATCAGGGTCAGGACCCAAGGAATCATTACATTTGGTGGTTCACTGATTCTTTTCTTTGAAGGGGAGGGGGCATTTGCTTCTTTTGACCCCTTTCCAAGGGGCTCAGGCAGCTTTTTCTGGTGGGCAAGCGATGGTCATACATCCAAATCTCGTATTAGAAAAAGGGGGGGAAAAAAGGGAGAAGAGACCTGTCAAACCAGAAAGATGATATGCCCAACTGATAAACGCTACCCCAAGGACTCAAACAAGTTTCGCTTCTCCCTCCCTCCCAACGAAAACGTGCTTGCTAAAGTAGCGTCATTTTAGACGAGGTGGAAAACCATTCAGGACTACCAGTGACTCCTAGTTACTGGGGAAAGAAAGATACAACTGGTTTCAATTGGCTCCAGTCTATCCTCACTGTATTAGTCCACCTAGTTGAGGAAAAACGTCCTGCGGGCACTTGCCTCTTGCTCTGTCTTATAGAAGGTGGGGCTATCTATTGTAAGCTGCTCGCCCTTGTTGCTCAGCTTGCGGTCCAGCCTGGGCACATTGAGCAAGGGCACATTGGGGCGGTCTTGCATGGCCACGCTGGGGACCTGCACTCAAAGGCCTCCACGCTTTGACTTCTTCGAAAGTAACAAACTTGGTTGTCGTTGATTGTTGCGTTATATGGCTCAAGTGTTCCAGACCGGCAGCACATTGGTATACGGTTCAAAGCAGACACCACGAATAGATTGACACTTTCGAAGTGTTTGGCGTTCATTGGTCAAAACAAGCCAGGAAGCATTCAAGCAAGATCGTAAAATGTTGCGTGCAGAGCAAGATATCAAACAAGTGGCATACTCGCCTCAGGAAGAACAGGGATAATAGCCAATTAAGACTTGGATGAATGGACGAGAGGAAGTTGTAATCTGTGCCCTTTTAAGCAGACATTGCCAATGTTTCTGTGCCTGGTTCGAATGTTTGACGCCCAAGGATTGTAAACTTTTTCCTGGCTACACCATTGCGCTGGGTTGTACGGAAAAGCCAACAATTACACCTAAAAGAACCCAAAAGCCATGACAGCAATTGTTCCACCACTGCAGCATTCAAATATACCAGCTAGCGAGCTCTTTCTCACCTGCTTCTTGCCCACGGTGCCGTCGATTGCATTGGGTGCCCCGTTGTTGGACGTAGAGTCGCCGTCGCCAGGCTGTCGGGGGCCAGGATCCACCATTGCTAGAACAGCCCTGCTGGCTCCCTAGATGTCACCAATTGCACCAATTGCGTGGCAGGAGCAAGGCGGACCAATGCAATGGCGGCCACAGGGCGCGGGTTTGCACTCGTAGGTCAGCAAAATCTTGCAAGCAGCACTGAGGCGCTCATCCGACTTTAACCCTCTAGGCATTGGTCAAGTGACGGCATAATGTATAACCCAGTTCTGATGTCATTGTCGCGCACTCCGGACCCAAGCTCTAGAGCAGAGATACCGTAGTGTGCTGTGAGAATGGCGATGCCCCGCGCATCCTAGAGGTAGTCACTACCTCACGGCACTACCGTAGTGCCGTGAAAGGTTGGCTTAGGAGCCCAAGGTTGGGTTAGGAGCCCAAACCATATATTTTAGGGTTCTTCTCTTTTGTGCTGCACGTGCAGCCAAACTCGCCAAAGGTGACGGCAGTGGGCATCCTTGCCTGCGCCATGGCAGGGTAGAACGTTCATCCTTCGCGGCAGCGATGGTTCTGATGGTTGGCCCATCAGCAATGGCATGGGGAGAGACGAAAGGTGCTTGCCGTTGAGGCTGCACATCAGCATTTCAAAAAGACATCTGCGTTGTTGCGTAGCATTGATTGCCGATCGGTCCATTGGGTGGAATTGAGAGCTAAACTCCTAGTCGACGCCCAATCATTGTGGTATCAAGCAGGGGTGTCAAGCTGAGTTGCTGACATTGTTGTGAAGGCCCAATCGAGGTTCAGGAGGTGAGTGACACAGTGCTGTCTGCCCCTCCTCTGCTTGCTGTCTGAGTTTGTGTTGGGGCAGGTTGTGCGCAACAATCGAACACAAGCCCACCACCGGAAATAGTGATTGATTTCTTCTCAGTGGACCTGTCTCTCGTATTGACGTCTGCACAATAAACCCTCAATTAACCATGTGAACTGGTCCAATTGCGCAGAATGGGTTTGACAAGATATCCACTGAATACAGGAACCCTAAACAACTCCTCTCATAGCTTGCTTGCTCTACGCCAGGGCACTAGATAGTGTTAGCATGCCTTTTCAGTAGTTCTGCAATGCAGTTTGGATGTGTCCAGTTGGGCTCCAAAGTGGGCCAAGGGCACAAGAATGATCTTGCACGTTTGCAGCCCATTTTGTGCGGTCAAAGGTTTAGCTATCCAATTTGTGCAACTGTTGACCATGAGAGTTTAGTTCATGATGTGTCTTTGTTTGCAAAGCTCTTCACTTGACTCCAGGAGCTGACTCGACTGTGGCTTCAAGCAATCAAGAGCTGACTCGACCGTGGCTTCAAGCAATCAACCAACCAAGTGGCAGCTCTGGAAGACAAAGTGAACTGTTCATTGAAAAAATGCAATCCTTTCTCACCCATTTAGACTACTCTATCCTGAGACCCTCAATTCTGGTTTTCAGTAGTCTGCGGCATAACGCTGGCCGCAAAAGTAGGCTGAAGAATACCACTTTGATGCATCGATAGGTGCATGTCTCCTGTCTGAGAGCCGCAGACATGAAGTGGGTCAGCCGCCTCCGCGAGGGCAAGAAGGGGCCCTCTCAGCCGCTGTCCCCCACCCACGTATCATCGGACAGGTGAGATTACTGGTCCCATATGTTGGCTTTCAACAGATCAAGGGATCTCCAAGTGGGGTGCTGTGAACGAACTTCGAGCTGGCTAGGGACTGCTTGATTGTTGCTTGATGGCCAACGGTTGATGCTGAAATCTTATGCACCATTGTGATGCGTTTTATATGTCGTGCTGCACCACTCTGTCAAGAAACCCAAGGGAGCGCTTTGTTATGGGTTCTCAGGAACAACTTCTGATATTCCGAGCAATCTATTGTTCGAAAAACTGTTTTATTCGTGGCACTAGCTTGCCCCACTGAGTGCAAACTGAGTTTGAACAACAGAATTATCGTAAGCACCCATTAAACTTGCATCTGAAAGTGCCCCTGGTGAGAACGAGGGTTGGCCCCGTAGGACTTTCAGCCTGGCTAGGAACCTTCAAGTATGGACAAGAGCACTTTCCTCTCTTGATCATTCTGGAAGGTTTTCCGGCCTGCTGCCACTTTCCGTGGTTTTGGGCATTTTTGCATACGATCCTCCCTTCGCTGCAGTGACTTGGAGCAGCACTTCAAGGAACTGTGGGAGCACTTTCGGGCTGTTGAGTCGGATAAGGTGAGAGCAAAGAGAGTAGACCACTGCCAAAGTTGATGATTATCCCTCCCTGGAAATGGTTTGGATGCACACTCAGAGGGATCCCTTCGATGGCCGTCTTGGCTAATGGGACTTGAGTACCAACCAAGAGTGTTCTTTCTGATAAAACATTTAGTATGGGGACCAGCCATGCCACCGAACCATCCCTCCACTACTATTCAACCTTTCTTGTGCTCTGTCACAGGGGAAGAACCCAAATGCGTTTGGCGAGGTGTTGGCTGCATTCTGCAGCTTGTTGCGGGCCAATGACACTGGATCTGACGTGTTGGATTTGTAAGCTTTCCACCGCTCCTTTGTCCCTGTTTGAGGACGTTCTGCAAGATCTTCTTGTGAACGTCATTAGACACCCTTGGCTTCTATGTTAGTGCTCTACAACTTGTGCTGATTTCAGGAGATGTTGCAGCTAGGAAACGCCCTCCACAGTCAAAATGCGCAATCTCACCAAGACGACTCTCTCTTTTGTCTTCATCTCTAGATGGAGCGAGGCTCGCCCTTTTGCGTTCATGGTTGGCCGCCGGTTTGTCTCGGAGATCGAGCAGCTCCGGAAGGGCGGCCCCGAAGGCCCGCTGGATGGGGAGGACGTGCTAGACTTCCTGGCCGGCAGCGGAGAGGTGACACCGACTGCGATCGCTTCTGCTTTTTGCTTTGATCAGAGTTCCGACATCTGTTCCAATGTGATGAGACTTACTGGTCGACAGGAAATGTCATAAGAGGTTTTCAGCTTGTCTTATAGCTGGGCAGAAAAGTGAGTTCTCTCAACAGCGCATGAGCTTTTCAACTTTGTACTGGCAAGTGCCCATGCGATGCAGTGACTTTCTCAGGATGTTCGTAACTTCTGTACTTGCTTCAGTTCTGTTTCTCAGTGCGGTGAGGGGCGCTTGAATCTGGACGTTGTTGTGCTTATGGGACCCTCAGCAGCTTGAGAATCTGCCCAGAATGTCTGTTGGTTGGCTTTGCAGACGCTCAGTTACATTGCCTCCCAGAACGAGGTCGCGTGAGCTACATGACTGACAGCTTGCTTTCGCCTGACACCTTGATGAACAAACGGAGAGATTTTCAGCTTCGGTTCCCCCTCCACTTCTGAGCTTCTCAGCGTAGCCTTTTCTTGCAGGACTCACAGGTCGCCCTGGGCCCCAACCTCCTTTCGGCCCTGGAAGCACTTGTCGCTCCGGTGAGACCAGTCCTCCAATCGCTCATGACTTATCATGATCCACTTCTAGGATTCAAATAGGGCTCAACTCTATTAAGGTGGCTGAGGTGGTATTCAATCTCTACTCTCTTAAGTTCTGGACTCATCGTCTCTGTCTCAGGCTGCCAAAGCAGTTCCGCTTTGGACAGAGTAACACGGAAGAAACAAGAACTTATCTTATCAAGAAGTTGTTTATGTGCTCAAATACGCCTGCAGAAACTTACAAGGCCACCTTGAAGGAGCCAAACAAGAAGAGTCAGATTTCGCAACGAACTTATATTCTTTCTTGCAGCCTGTGGATGGAGGACCACTCGTTGATGCCGGCCTCCTTTCCTGCCTCGTAACTGTCCTGTACCGATTCCTCTCCCCCGCAAACCCACCAGATGCCGGGTCAGAACCTCCGCCGGGCAATAAGTCGGGCCGAAAGTCCCGGGGCAACAACCCCGAGGGTTTGGAGGGGTTAGCAAAGCGGGTCGACGACCGGCGGAAGCGGCTGTCGGTGGAGGGCAGCATAGTGCACATTATGAAGGCGCTGGCGCAGCACCCGTCCGCCGCGCAGTCCCTCGTGGAGGACCACTCCCTGCAGCTGCTGTTTTGTATAGTGGCGATAGACATGGGGGCGACTGGGGATGTGGCGCCTGAGGAGGTGGGGTCGCCCACCAAGGGCGAGCGAATAAAGCCGCAGCTGCACAAGGCGCAGCTCCGGAGGCACGCCATGCAGGTGAACAGGCTGCTCTCAAGGCTTACATATCGATTTCCCTCGTATGCAGTGACGAAGTGTCCTGGACTTTTGTCTATGGCTGTTCAGGCATGCGAAGTCTTAGTCAACCGGTCGATTCCAGGATTCGGGAAGTGACACGAGAGAATTGACTTGGATTGAATATCACTACCTTGATTCTGCTTGAATTCTACCCCCGCTGTAAACCGGCGGAATGTCACCTGGTCTTGGAAAGAGCTCGAGACCTTTCTCAAGCTTCGCTGTAGCCTGGAAAGGATTGTACTCGGAATATGCTTCTGGGGACGGCCTCGATCTTTCTCTCAAACTTTCTCTTGACAGCCACTTTGTGTGCTCTTGGTTCGAGCCGCCAAAAGTGCCAGCTGTCGTGTTTCCTCTGATGCTGACTCACGGCCTGGTCCTTGCAGGTGGTCCATCTTCTCCTTGCCAGTGACGGCGGGGCCATGCCGCCGTATTTGCGCAAGCACCGTCTTATTGAGCGCCTGGTTACGGTCGTTAAGGAGTTCGACCCCGCAACAAGCGACCCCGCATTTGCCATCGGGGCTGTCTCTCTCCTGGTGGAGTGCATCAGGCTGTCGTCGAGACCAGGTGGGAGCCATAGGAGCGACCCCGTCGCGGGGTGGCGGTCATAAAGGAACATGGTCTCTTAAGTGATCAAGTGTCAATCGGCGCCCGAGTATACAAGCTGCAAATCCTTGCACACTTTCAGGTCGACCGTTCGGAGAAGGGAATGATTCTGCGACAGGCTTGCCCCTGCTCTGAGTGGTTTTGGTAGGTGTCGGGAGTCCCGCAACCTTCAGAAACGACTGGACTAGCAATAATGTAAAATTTCGCTCCGCTTATTCATTTCCGGTGTCCGCAACTTACAGTGCCCTCACCTGGTGCAGGCTCCACTGTGATCCTCCGTGAAGATTTCCAAGCTGCCGACGGCTACCGCTGGATCGCCCGCCTGGCCCTCAAGCTGACCGAAGTAAAGGCCGATCCAGGCCCCCAGCCGTTCCTGCCTGACACGTCAGCAACACCTCAAGCCAAGCCGGGGAAGCGCAACCTGACGGGCAAGCTGGGGGCAATGGTCGCCAACCTTAAGCATCACGGCTCCAAGACGGAAGCAGCCCCTGCCGAAGCAACGCCCGCAGAGCTCGCTTCAGAAACCATCCAAGCGGCAGCAAAGCGCCTCTCATTGGGCGGCGCCGAGGCTCCGGTTGAGGGGACCTCACCGTCCGTTATCGAGCCGGAAGCAAAGCCCGAGAAGCCTGCCTTGTCGGTGCCACTATCCCGCCTCCTGGATCTCATCATCGAACTCGCCCAGATTGCGACCAAGCCCGAAGACGACCCTGCGTCGATCGTTTCTCCAGGAGCCCACAGGCGGACATCGTCCAGCGGGGGGAAAAGGTTGCCCTCCTCGACACCCCCCCGGGGGCTGCCCGGCGCCCCTGCAAAGTCCCCCCCGCACCGGAGCTTCATGCCCACGTGGGCTCTGTCCTCCCCATCGAGTAGCAGCAACAATCTGCTGGCGGAAGCGAGCCGAGCGAGCGGACGACTAAAGGACCGCAAGGCGGCGCAGCTGCTGCAGGAGATCTTTCTGGAGACGCCAGACCTGGGGCTGAGGCTGGAGATTCTGGAGCGGCTGTTGGGGTTGATATCGGGGGTGGCGGAGAATAAGGAGGTGCTCGAGGAGCTGCGCACGCTACCGGTGCTGGTCAAGGGCGTGCCGGAGTACCCGGGGGTGCTGCAAGAGGAGCTGCTTGCGGTGAGTGACGTAGGAAGGCCTCTTCGAGTCAGACGAGAGACGGAATCTATCGTGGGATTTTTGTAAGGACTGAGCATTGCTGATTGTCGTTCTCCATGCCTGAGTATGGGAAACCGTAAACAGTCCCTTGAGCTCCGGTGCCGGCCAAGAATGCATGCCCATGGTAGCTCATGCTTTCCCTTGGAGGCATTTGGAACCATCTAACTTCGCTCACAGTTAAAAGACGACTCTCGATATTCGTACAGTACAGGTTGTCATTGCCAAAGAATGTTCAAGTGGACTTGGTCACCAAGAGACAATGACAGGGTCGTTACTTCTGGTTCGAGGTCTGGCAGGAGACCTGCTCGTACTTCGGACGACTCCAGTGACCTGTAGCGAAGTCCTAACGGACTTTCTTAATCTCTGCGCAGGTCTTGGAGTACGCCGGCACCCTGGCCGGCCTATCCATCGAGCAGGAGCTGCTGTCACTGGTGTTCTTCCTGCAAGGCCCCTCCGTGGCCCCCCTGGGGGAGCGCTTCCTGGCCACGTGTGTGCGCCTGCTGCGCTTCGACCCCCAGTATGCCGCCACGCTGCGCGACTGCGGCCTCTTGGACGTCCTCATCGAAGACCTCCGGAACTGTGGGGCTGGAGACACCGCTGGGCATGGTCCCGACGGCGAGAAGCCGTCACCAGAAGCGGAGAGTGTGAATAAGAGCCCAGGTGCGGTGTCGTTGTTTGCGGGGGGGGAGTTGCAGACGGAGACGACGTGGGAGGCGCTCGTGAGCATCCTGCGAGGCAGTCCCGAGAACCAGAAGGTGTTTCGCAAGGCGGGGGGGTTCGAGGTGCTCCTGCCGCTGCTGGGGAAACCGGAGGCTCTCCGAGGCGGTGCGCTGCGGCTGATGGGCTGCCTGGTGTCGGAGGACAGGGAGTGCGCGCACACCGACGAGCTGGGGGGGCTGATCAACGTGGCAAGAACGGGGCACGTTCACCAGAAAGGAGCCCACGAGGGAGGGGTGCCTGTCCAGGTGACGTGGCAAGGCAGACTGGAGGCGCTCCAGGTGCTGCGGGGGGTACTGGTGGAGAACGAGTCAGCGAGGGAGGCGTTTAGGAATCTGGAGGGGTTCAGCCTCCCACTCGCGCTATTGGTGGGGCTTAGACGGGATGAAGGAGCAGGGACCCCACGTGCGGGTGGAAGGGCGAGTGCGGGAGAAGGGGAGGTTCTGCTGAAGCGGTTTGAGCGGCAGCGGAGCGAGCTCCATCCGAACCTGAAGCTCTGCCTCTTCGAAGCGTTGCTACAGGTTCTGATTGCTGCGGTAAAAGGCAACTCGAAAAACCGGCAGGCGCTGAGCGAGGGAGTGGGCAGCCTGAGCCTGAGAGAGGCGCTGTCGATGGCTGGGCTGATCAGTCCCGAGTCAGAGGCGAGGATTGTCGACCTGTTCTTCGCTCTAGCACTGGAAACGGAAGTGGGGACCTTGGAGGGTCACGAAGACGGTCAGGATGTGGGTTTGGAGGAGCGGCGGGGTAGCCACCAGCGGGCGAGCAGCAGCGGATTCGACGAGGGGCACAGCCGGAGGGCCAGCTTGGACGGCGCCCCAGCTAGCAGACGCAGCAGCCTAGGGAAGGAGGGCTGGGGTCCGGGTGCATCCGATCCGGGCTCGATACTGAACCCGAGTGCAATCAAGGGCCTCATCCTGAGCCTGAGCCTGTTCTCGGAAGCAGTGCAAAAGCAGGTGCTGGGTCGGACTAAAGAGCTGGCGTTAAAAGGCCCCAGGAATCGGGAGGTGCTCTGCGCAGCGGGCCTGTTCGGGCTCCTACTGGACGATGCGAAGGCGAAGCTGCACGCTAACCCGGTTTCGGATCTGCTAATCCTGGAGTTAGAACTGGCAGAGATACTAGGAGCGTTCCGGCTCTCGCCGACCGAGCTTCGGAGCCTGCTAGCTCTGGTGAAGCCGTCTGCGGACCCTAGGACTAGCGCAGTGTTTTTGCCGATGGTCGAACGCATGGCCAAGTCGACTGCGGTGGGGGACACCAAGCAGCACGCGCAGAACCCTTCTCTGGCGCCCTTCCTCGACTTCTCCCTGGGGGGGGTCGGGCACGCCTGCGTGCGCACCCCCCTGCACGAGCGCGCGTGGCCCCACTCGACGGGCTACTCCTTTGCCTGCTGGGTCAAGTTCCAGAACCTGCGCCAGACCGTGGCTCGGACCGTACGGACCGGTCGAGCGACGCAGTCTCCGGTGGACGCGCCCTGCTTGCGGCTGTTCACAGTGGGCCCTGCTGACGAGAAGGGGCCCCCGTATCTAGAGGTGGCAATAGAGTGCAGCGGGCTGCTGGTGCTGACAGCAGGGCCCAAGGAACGGCTGGTGTTTACGGACTTCACATTCGAGGAAGACAGCTGGTACCACATCGCTGTGGTTCACAATCGACCGAGCGCGCTTGCGGGCCTTTTCCAGTCGAGCGTCGCAAGCTTGTTTGTTGACGGGGTTGGGCGCCAGATGGGCAAGCTGGCGGCGGCCGCAGTGCCGCCCGGCAGGCCGTTGCTGGCCACTCTCGGAACGCCACCTGGCGCAACACTGGCGCCCGGCACGCTGACGTGGCAGCTGGGGGGCACGTACTTCTTAGAGGAGGTAGTCCCGCCTGCCGCGGTGTTCTTCATGTACGCGCTCGGCCGGGGCTACCGGGGGCTGTTTCAGGACATCACGCTACCGGAGTTCCTGCCCCAGGAGGTGGCCGGGGGGATCACCCTGAAAGTGATGCAGTCACTGGAGGAGTTGGCGGCGAACCCCTCGATGGAGAGAACGGCGTCAGGGTTTGGAAGTCTGGGGGAAGCAAAGGAGCAGGTCGCTGTAGAAATGGTGTGGGACAAGGAGGCGGCCGGGGTTGCACTAGCACAGCTGGCGGCGCGGCACATAGTGTTTGCGTTTGACGGCTCGCAGGAGGAAGGGCCAGAGGCGGGGCAGTGGGCAGCGGTGGAGGTGGTCAACCTGGTGGACGCACACTCGTCAGCGGCGTCTATCTCCGGATCCGGTGAGGCTGTGCTGCAAGTGGGGGCACATTGACTAACTTTTGCTAGAAATCAAAGCGGTTACTTTGCAGACAGACAGCAGCGGTTCAGACTAAGACTTTAAAAAATCCTTAACGTGCATTCCAACCACTTACAATTCATTATCGGACGATCTAATTTCGTTCTCAGCGTGTCGCAACCACAGCTTGTCAAGTCCATCGTCGCTCGAAAAGGACGCTCATTTTGCAGCTAGTGCAGACCCTTTTTATACAGCCCGCTCGCATTTGGAATTATCTGGTTTCAGTACGTTGGCTCTCGGATCCTGATTGTGTTGCTCGGGCCTCTTTGCAGATCTCCCCCGGTCCGCCCGGCTGTTGGGCAACGTCCAGGTCTGCCGCCCCTGCAGCCTGGCCGACAGCGTGCGCCACGCGGGCGGCGTCTCCCTGCTCCTCGCCCTCATCCAGACGGCCACCACGCCCGCCACGCTGCGCCTCGCGCTCTCCCTCCTCGTCTCGGCGGTGCGCCACAACCCCAAGAACGCGCACGACATGGCGCGCCTGCGCGGGTACCACCTTCTCGCAGTGTTCCTGCGGCAGCACATTGACATGGTGGGGCACTCCGAGCTGGACTTGTTACTACAGCTGGCGGGCACCGACGGCACCACGGGGCTGTTCCACCACCGGCAAGCGTTCGGGGGGGTGGACGACCAGGGCGGGGCCATGCACACCGTGGTGCTGACGGACCCCCCCCTCGTGGAGGACGTTCTGCTCGACTGGACGGTGTGGGTTGCGGCGCCGGTCCCACTCCAACTGGCGGTACTCGACTTCCTCGAGTCGCTGGCGGGGCACAGCGCGTTCAAGCGGCACAACATGGCCGCGCTGCGGCGGATGGACGTGTTCCAGCATCTCCTGGTGACGCTCCACCGGGGGGACGTCACAGAACCGGTGCTGCAGAAAGCAGTGCGCCTGCTGGGGCTGTTCATCGAGGACGGGAAGCACCCGGGGGAGCTCAAAGCGGTGGCCGACTTCGTAGTGAGCACGTTCCGGCAGGGGCAGGCCTTGGAGGGCGTCGAGTATGGCGAGCCGCGCAAGCCGAGTACGCCGCTCTTCGTCCCGGGGCGCGCCGGGCGCGAGTCGGACGGGTACGAGGTGCTGGTCCGCAACATGGTGCTGGACAAGCTGCTGGACCTGCAAGTCAAGCTCAGGGGCGAGGAGGAACTAGACCTGTGGGGGAAGATCGTGGGGAGCCGCGTGGTGACGTTCCTGCTGGACGAGGACGTGCACCCGAGCACGCTGTGCCTCGTCCTCACCATGCTGGCCTACAGCATCTCGGCCAACCCCGCGAGCGCCGCCAAGTTCCGCGCGAGCGGGGGCTTCCAGTCGATCACGCACGTGCTGCCGTCCTTCTTCGACGAGCCCGAGGTGTACGCCATTTTGCTGAAGCTGGCGCTCGGCCGGCCGGTCTACCCGCGGCAGCCGGCGATGGGGCTCGAGGACTTTTACGCGCTAATCCCCACGGGCGACGGGCAGGATCCCGTGCACTTCCCCGAGCTGCTCGAGATCATCGGGTCGCTCTTCAAGGCCGCGTTCGATGCGCACGACCCGCACCCAATCGCTCCGGCGGGCGAGAGCAGTAACCACAAGCTGGTGGCGCCGGGGGTGGAGAACGGGGGAACGGATTTGAGTCCGCGGACGACAGACTCGCGGGGGAGCACGCCGGAGGAGCTGGCGACGGGGCTGATGCAGTGGCTGGTGAAGCTGGCGCAGCGGAGCGGCCCCCTGTCGCAGGCGTGCCGAAGGCAGGAGTTCTTGGAAGGATACGTGGAGCTCTTCTTCTCATGCGTCAGGTCGGGGCTCCCCTCTTCTGCGCTTGCTGTCTTTTGTCTTCAGGTGATTTTGATGCTAGGATGTTTAAGCATCGTTCTCTTTGCCAACAGAGAAATCAAGATGAGAATTCAAGGCGGTCAGTATCTAAATGTGTGATTCCGGGCCGCTTGACAATAAAGGGGCCCGTATCATAAGTCAACTTTGGGCTAGAAGATCCTTCGACGCACGGTCAAGTGAACTTGAGCAAAGATTGAGCTTTTCTATTCACCTCTGACAAGAGGACGCTGGTCGAACGGATTAATAATCTACACCAGATTCCGCTGTGCGACATCCCCGTCTCATCTAAGGTCTATTTCCCCTTCGCACCAGGTCGCACGCTTTGGACATGGCTCCATCGGCGCCCCTCCCGTACGTGGCGATGGACCTGGACACCGGCAAGCCGGCCCAGCTGGACGTTGACGTCAGCGAGTACGCCAGCTTCAGCACGCTGCCCAAGTCGCTGGACGGCAGCAGCGACTACCTGGACCTCAGCTTCCGCAGCCCCCTGGGCGGGCCCGCTGAGGGCGACCACAGCAGCTACGCCTCCGGGTCTACGTTCGCCCACGACACCGGTGACGACCGCCGAGGCCTTGCGATCCGCACCGCGCCGCGAACGATGGCGGACGTGGCGGCCGAGGGGTTCCTGGACGGGGCCTCGTCGACGGGGACCCGGACCCCGGCCGGCGGGACGCCGAAAACGTCGGGGGTGCAGTCGCCTATCATGATTAGCTCGCCTGCGCACCCCAGCTCGCCGTATGCCAAGGGGGGCAGCTTCAACGGAGATCTCGAGATCGAAGCGGCCATGCCACACGGGCTGCTGACGGACGCGCTGTTGCAAGCTGCGGAACAGTCGCCGGGCGCGCAAGCAGTGTTGGATCTGTTGGCGGTTGTGTTGGCAGACGCGTTGGTGGAGCAGAGCCGGAGCAGCGGCCTGTTGGACACCGTGCTCGACGCGGTGCCCCTCGACATTGCACCCGCAACTGCAATCGTCTTCCACGGGCTGTGCCTGCAGCGCCTGATAGCCGCCCTCAGCCTGCGGTTCGAAGACGTCCCGGCTTCCGACAAGTCAAAGTGGGCACACAACCTGGAGGCGCTGTCATGGTTGCTCGTGGACCGTTTCCACCTGGGGGCGTTCGCGGGCGGGAAGACCGACGTGGCAATTGTAGAGTTTCTGCTGGAACGGCTGCGGGCTGCGAACGTGGACGGGAAAGTGGAGGAAGCGACGGTGGCGGGGGGGTCGTCTCTGCGGCTGCTGGCACTGCCAAAGGCCAAGGGCGCGCAGGTGGAACCGCACGTGGTGGCGCTGCTGAAGAACCTCAACCGGATGATCATGTACACGTTCCTGCCAGCGGCGTTCCGGAACAAGACCGGAGCGGGCGACAAGGACGGCGCGGGGTGGACTGTTGACAAAGCGGTGGGGTTACTTCTGGCGGACAAGAAACTGGTGCTGTGCCAGAGTAATGTGGACGCGGAGCTGATGGCGTGCCTGGCGTACAACTTAAACGAGATGCTACTGGCCGACCACGAGGAGGAGCGCACGCGCGCAATTGCGGCGTGGAAGGTGCTGCTGCTGCAAAAGTGGGGGGCGCTCGAGGAGCTGCTCACAGTGCGCAGCCCAGCCAAGGGCGTGCCCCCCCTGGACGTGCTGCGCGGCGGGATCGACTTGTTGCTCACGAACGAGCCGGGCGACTTCTTCCAGTGGCTGTCGGACCACGACGAAGACGTCCGGAAAGTGTTGTCCGGGAAAGCGGCGTCCGAGTGGGCCGAGTACGTGGCGACCGCCGTCAAGTTCCCGGCGCAGCGCGGGCACACGCTCGAGCTGAAGCGGCGCAAGGAGATGGGCCGTCGGATGAAGGAGCGCGCCAAATCGACGGCCAAGTTTGAGGAGCAGGCGCTGGAGCGGCGGCTGACGCTGGGCAGCGTGCGCCTCGGCGTGGGCGCCAGCCTGCGGCTGTTGCGGCAGGACAAGTACGGCTGGGTGCTGCACGCGGAGCGCGAGTGGGGGGCGCGCCTCGAGAGCCTTGTGCACGAGCGCGCCATCTGGGGGATCCTCCCGGGGAAGGAGACGGCGGCCGTGCAGTGGCAGCTGGACCCAACGGAGGGGCCGTACCGCATGCGCAAGAAGCTGCAGAGGGTGCCTGCACTCGTGGACTTCACGGGCTGGGCCGAGGAGGTGACGTCAGCTAACGACGCAGTGACGCCAGCGGGCGAATCTGTGACGTCAGCAGGCGAGGCGGGGACACCGGCGGGTGATGTGGCGGCCAAGGAGGGTGAGCAGGCGGCAGGGGAGGGGTTGCAATCCAAAGAAATTGGGGGCATCGAGTACTTCCACAAATTTTCCGTGGCGGGTGCGGCGTCGATGCGCCGGGCGTCGCTGTTGTCGGAAAACGGCGTCGAGGAGGAAGACGAGCAGGAAGATGCGGAGACCGCAAGCGCGTACTCGGCTGCTACGAGCAAGTCTCGCCCAAACACCGCGGACTCCGGCGCACCCCCCCAGGAAAGACTAAAGATCAGGGTGCCGGAGGGCCATACGGCGAGTGACCTCAGCGCGCGTTCGCTGGATTCCTCCCCGAGGCGGTCCTCGGCCCACGAGTCGGAAGCGGACGAGGCTGCAGTCGACGAAGACCTTGAGGGGTTCGAGGATCTGGACGACGGGGAGCATTTGATCCGGCCGTACTTGGAGCCGCGAGAGCGGATCAAGGGGCGGTATAACTGCGAGCGGGTAGTCGGGTTAGACAAGCGGGACGGCGTGTTTCTGATTGGGGACCTTTGTTTGTATATAATCGAGGGTTACTTCATCAACGGCGAGGGGCGCATCTGCGAGAAGCGCAGCGAGGACCAGACGTCCGTGCTGGACCGTGCACTGGGGGTGGGGAAGGAAGCCCTCCATGGCTGGGGCAAGAAGCACCGCAACTCCGTGCACAGCGTCAAGAATACGCCGCGGGGGGGTGCCGCGGCAGCCAAATCCGACTCCCCTGAGGCGGGGGGCTGGCAGGAGGCTGCGCGGTGCTTCATGGGGGGTCATTTCTGGGCGCTGGGAGGGGGGGTGGAGCGTGGGCGGCGGCGGCAGTTGCCGTGCGTGGAAGGTGGACAACGTGCACGAGGTGCTGAAACGGCGGTACCAGCTGCGGCCGGTGGCGCTGGAGCTGTTCAGCCTGGACGGCTGCAACGACCTGCTCGTCTTCCACCAGGCGGAGCGCGACGACGTCTTCAAGCAGCTGCTGGCACACAACATCCCGCGCGCCAACACGTGAGCCATCACGAAGAAAACTCGGTCAAACCGTTTGACTGAGCTGCGATTAAGACAGGTTACTTGTTGCCACTGCTTTTTCGGTCTGGTTGGAATCTTCGCCTTGAGCAAGCGAACGCCCTTTGTATAGAAGCCTTTCCAACTCGTTTGAAGGATTCAACGCTTTCTTACGCTCTCTTCCTTTCTTTCTCCCCTTGCCTGAACCTGGTCCCCTTGGTTTTCAGGCACGTGTCAGACCTGCTGGGTGCCACCATCAGCGGCGGCGCGCGTGCAGAGGCGGGCGAACCGGGGCGGCTATTCAAGATCATGGCGCGCTCATTCAGCAAGCGGTGGGTGGCGGGCGAGATCTCCAACTTCCAGTACCTGATGCACCTCAACACGCTGGCCGGCCGCGGCTACAACGACCTGACGCAGTACCCGGTGTTCCCGTGGGTGCTCGCGGACTACGAGAGCGCGGAGCTGGACCTGAGCAACCCGGCCACCTTCCGCAGGCTGGACCGGCCCATGGGCGCGCTGGACCCGGACCGGGAGGAGGAGTTCCAAAAGAGGTGAGGGCGAAAGGAGGACGAGGCGGAAGAGATGCTTGCTCGAAGGCTAGGAGATGTTTTTAGGATCCGCGGAGGAGGGGCGAAGCTCTTTGGTTCGGTGGTGGAGAATAGGTGTCTGGCCTGGGCGCTCCTCTACTTTGAAAAGCGCTTCTCTTCCCCGTTTCTCGTGAACGTTTGAGTACATAGACCGGCGACTGAGCTTTCAGTGGTGCTTCTCTGACATGAATCCTTGCAGTAGCGCAGTGCAAGATCCAGCAACTAGAAGATACAAAGGTAAACGCACGCTAATTAGTACTACGGTCCTTCTTCCTCTGCACGCCGGCTGCTGTGAAACAATCTCAAACCTCCCCCGCAGGTTCGAGAACTGGGAGGACCCGGACATCCCGCCGTTCCACTACGGCAGCCACTACTCGAGCGCGGGCACGGTGCTGTACTACCTGGTGCGGCTGCCGCCGTTCAACGTGCTGAACCAGCAGCTGCAGGGCGGCAAGTTCGACCACGCTGACCGCATGTTCGTCAGCCTGCGCGACACGTGGCGCGGCGCCAGCCAGGGCAACACGGCGGACGTAAAGGAGCTCACCCCCGAGTTCTTCTACATGCCCGAGTTTCTGGAGAACAGGAGCCGCCTCGACCTGGGGGCCAAGCAGTCCGGCGAGAAGGTGGGGCGGCGGACCGTTCCGATTGCACGAGTCTGATATCAACTGTCGACGGCTTGATCTCGTAAAGAGCCACTCTCGCGTCCGACTCTTCTTGGCTTTGGAGTCGGTGGCACTTTTCACGACGAAAATGAGCAACAAGAAACGCCGACGAGCAGCGCTCCTCACGACCTGGGAAAGCAGATTTTCATCCTCAAAACAGTGCTAAAAAGTAGCTCTGCCCCCATTGTCCGGGAAAAGAAATATAACGACTTTGCTTGCTGCTTCGCAGGTGGACACGGTGAAGCTGCCTCCCTGGGCGCACGGCAGCGCGCGCGAGTTTGTGCGGAAGCACCGCGAGGCGCTCGAGTCGGCGTACGTGAGCGAGCACCTGCACCACTGGGTGGACCTCATCTTCGGCTACCAGCAGCAGGGCAAGGTGGGCACCCGGGGGTTTTATCGCAGTCTCCAACTGCAAGCGACTCAAAAACATGCGAGGGACTGATTATGAATTTACATCGCGCGTGATGGGTATCGTAGCCTATTGCGACCTTCGGAAGAGGCACTGGTAGAGATCGTTTCAATGAGGCAAACTGCTTTTTGATTAACCTCAAGAAAGCTGTTTCGAAATTTGTTTAAGCTCGGGTGTTATAATGCCAAAAAGTTGGCTTCTAACTAATCTGCATGCCTTCGCAGGCGGCCGAGGAGGCGACCAACGTGTTTTTCTACCTGACGTACGAGGGCGCGGTCGACATCGACGCGGTGACGGACCCCGCGATGCGCGCGTCCATCCTGGCGCAGATCAACTACTTCGGGCAGACGCCGCGCCAGCTGTTCCAGAAGCCGCACGGCAAGCGCAAGGCCGCCCACGTGGCGCCCCCCGTGCACGCGCTCAAGCACTACGACCTGCTCGTGGCGCAGGAGCTCAAGGATGCAGCCTCGGGCAAAGGAGCCATCTCGCAGGTGGGACGACTGGGCCACTAACTGTCTTGAATATCATCTTTCAATGCAGGTTTTGTAATCTTTCTCTGCAGTAATTATAAATTCACGAGCAGTTCAGGTAGTCTCACGTGGTTTTCAGTGATGTTTTTCACTTTGATATCAGAAAGACAGCTGGTTTTTCCGTCCGGCTGCACGGCGACAGCCAGTGCACTTCGTCCTTCCGAAAGATGCAGCCGCATTTTGTTGGCTTGGCTGGACAAAAGCTGAACGGTCATTAGATTCTTTGGGAGCGGATATGAATGCTGCTTCGGAGGTTCTCTTGGACTTTGTATAAAAGACCTTGTAAACTGAAGCGAATCCCTATTTCCAGCTCTTCGAAATTGAGGGGACTAAAGCTTTCATTCCTTCACATATCTAAGAATTATCTGGTTGCCTCTCCCCCAGCTCGTGTTCGACAAGGAGCGCCTGTACGCTGTGGGCGCCGGCTGCGCGCTGCGCCCTCCCAGCTACAGCAAGTACTTCTGCTGGCGCTTCCCGGACAAGAGCGTGCGCATCATCGCGTACGACGGCGAGAAGCTGCAGAGCACGCACGAAGCCCTGCACGACGCGGGCCCCGTCCTGAGCGGGGCCATAAGTAAGGACGGTCGCGTGTTTGTTACCGGGGGCAGCGACGGCGTAATCCGAGTGTGGCATATGCGGAAGGACGCCCCCCGGGGGCAGCGGCGGCTGATTCTTCAAGAGGCGCTGTGCGCGCACACGGGGGGGGTCACGTGCCTGGCCATCTGCCAGACGTACGGGGTCATCGTGAGCGGGTCGGAGGACAAGACGGTGGTCGTGTGTGACCTCAACACGCTGCGCTTCGTGCGCCAGCTGGCGGAGCTGCAACACGCAGTCACGACCGTCCACGTGGACGATCTGACGGGCGAGATCGTCACGGGGGCGGGGGGCGTGCTCTGCGTCTGGAGCGTCAACGGGGACTGCCTGGCGGCACACGGGGAGAAGGGGGACACGTGTCAGCCCGGGGAGGAGGTTCTTTCCGTGACGACGCCCCAGTTTTCGGACCACCTGTCCGAAACGAACTTGTACG